CAGGAATTTTGCTTTGGTCTCCAGATTAAGAATGTTATAGTCACACTGGTTTTGAAAGAGTTTTCTGCCTACAGATTTCCAGGTTTCTGATGAGGAAGATACTGTAAAAGCTCTGACAATGTTTAGCCTTTTTTTTTTTGTAGTTCGCTCTTTTGAGCAACGTAAACATTGTTTTAGTATGGGAATTTTCAGCATTTTCTCCTCCAGACAGCTCTGGCTAAAGTGAGTCAGTAGGCGAGGTTTCCATCTCTGTAAAAAAAGCAAAAACAGTACACACTTTTGCAACCTTCCTAAAACACACATACGAGGAGACAAGCAGCGCATGTAGGTAATACTTGAATGGTACAGCACCTGATACTAATGTCACAAGAGTAGGCCACAGCTGAGCACTGGAAAGGCCCTCCGCTTAGTGTTTAAAGCAGCCACAACAGAATGGGACAGATCTACAGAAAAGCAGGGCCATACAAGTAGAGAGCAGACAGGGAAGTATACTCCGATCTAACTGGGAATCACCTGTCTGGCTCAATCGAGGTCATGATAAGTGGAATAATTAAACTCTGCATTTATCAAGAAAATCTTACTGTGTCTGTAGTCCTTTCCTGAGAAACAAGCATGGAAAACCAAAAGGCTTATGTGCTCGCTAAAGGCCCAGAGTATCAAGCCCCAAATAGCTTCCTCATTCCACAGCCGGCCCTTAATGCAGAAGAACAGCTTACAGTATGGTAAGTGCTGATGTAAAAGTAGTGGAAAGAATTTGAAGGAAGAGAGAAAGAAAACTAACTAGGGAAAAGGCCTAAGGACTTAAGAGTAGAAAGAAACGGCTAGAATATTGGGAAAGCACAGTGATTTGCGAACCTGAGAATAGGGAAAATGTGAAAAAAATAACAATAAAACACACTTTAAAGCTTATCTGTTCTTATTTTGATGAATGATTCTTCTTTCTGTTATATAATCTTAAGAAGACAGAGAACTTGAAAAGCAAAATAGATAGGAAAAGAAGCACAGAAAGACTTGGGAAAACACGTGGGGTTTTTTATTCTGCAAGGGAAAAGTAGATTGTGTATTCAGTGGAGTTTTGCCATGTCAGTATCATGTAGCCTATAGCCTTCTCACATGCTCCTACATATTAGGAAGAGATATTGGAGTCGTTTTATAGATTTTCAGCTGAAATTTCTCATACCATTGCGCATCTAAAAAATCAAGTCATGACAAACTTGGTGTGTCATTAACCAAGTGAAATGGCTTAATAACTTATAACGTAGGGATCTCTAAAAGATCTTTCATCTATTGTAATTGGAAGAAGTGGCAGATGTGGCTGCCACTTACTGAGATTGCGTTCTCTATAGTAAGCAGGAATATCTTTTTTCAGCATACTATCTTTGGATGTCTCAACCTTTTCTTCTTCTGAGTGGCTCCTGACATCTGTTGGAGAGACAATACGGCAGGGCACAGGCAGTCCAGGAGGGTCCTGGAATGCGTGGACGACAACTTCCTCCTACACGGGATAGA